AGTGAATTAATTAAAAATAATTATTCAAAAATGTCAACATTCGATATGGAATTGGAATGCTCCGTAGAGAGCGATGTAAGTGTCATTCTAAAGGAGTCGCTTTAAATCTCCAACAACCTCTGCTCCTTCTATTTTTATCCAACGCTTTTTATCCGACGGTAAATCGGCAACCTAAACTTATAACAATCCTGGCTAAAAACGTATTCTTTCCCTCCACATTGAATATAGAAAAAAAGTAAATTAAACGATTCGAATTAAAAACGCAAGTAAGTCAAAGTTTATTTTTTTGTTTATTTTGAAAAAAAAATTCTAAATCCACCTTAGAATTCCATTGAGGTCCGTTCACAACGCCAATATCATAGAATGTTCACGTACAAAACACTCCCGGGTAAACCAAAAACATTTCTAATTAAATCAATAAACATGGGAAAATAACACATTCATGGATACACAGAGCGCAGTTAGTTGCGAATTCACTATTTATTGAAAAAATATTGTCTTCTATTTGAGCTATTTCCAAAATGGTTCCATTTGGGCTTTATTAACTGCCTATTATCAATGCTCTCTTACTTATCCGGTCGTAATCTGTGCAAACAAAAAAGAACAAACTTTGCTGTCAAAAAGATCTGCTAATAGAACTTGAGTCGAACTTGGAGAGTTTCTAGTGTTTAATTCGCAATAAGTTCGAAATATATACTACTTTCCCGAGAACGGCCCTTTCAAGCCATCGTCCACACCAAATATGCCTGATGAGCCGCTTAACCAACAGCGAAACGCGTCGCATAGTGGTGATTGTGTGATAGCGTATATCTGGCTTTCCTTTTCACTGCAAATTTCAGATCATTAAGCTCGTCTGGAACGAGAAACAAAACACATAAATCATAAACATATGATCTTCGCCTTAACAAGGCAAAACTCAAAAACAAAAATTTTGGTTTTCTGAATATTACTAATCGTTCGTCTCCTCAAAAATCGTTGCGAAAATTAGAGATCAATCGTTGAGCACAAATAATTTCATCTTTCGATGTTCGAAAATATATATCTTTTAATACATTTGTAATGATAACAAAATGAGTTGTTTATGGTATAACATATGCTTTATTGGCAAAATAAATGACTAACTTTTGTTGCAGTTTATTAAGTTAAAGATATTTTATAAAAGGGCTTCTGAATCGACGGAAATAATTGCCTGTTACACGTAAAAGTATGTTCTATGATGGGAAATTAAGTTTTTAGGCAGGTCCCCTGGTCACCTTGTCCCCTATGGCTGAATATCGTATTTTTATTGTTTTTTAATTTTACATCTGTACAGGTTCCATGTTAAAACAGAATTTATTTGGCTCTATGAAGTTATTGTAAACCATACACCCAAATAAGTGTTGCCCTCCACGTTCGAGTTAAAAATACTTAAATCGAAAATTAGAAAACACATTCCAGCGTTTATCGTATACTAAATTACAAAAAAATTATGTCGATCCAAACGACTTCCATTTCGCTGTTGGATTTATCCATCCAATGGGTCTATCCAATATGGGTCCATAAAGTATTTTTTTATTTTTAATTTTTAAAGTTCTAATATATCATAGTTTAGCGTTAGGGTATGCAAAAGATGATTAGTTTACCTTTCCTTGTAATGATTTATGTAGTTCACATGGTCTGCAATTTTTGCTTGATTAAAAGTTAAATTAAAATATATACATTCAACGAGCTCAAACAAGTAAGCAAAGTCTACAGTCGAGTTATATGTTAAAATCCAATTTGAAAGATTTCGCTTTTGATATGATGTAATAGAGCCCTGCCCAGATGTTTCCCTTAGGTTTTTGATCGGGGGCATTTGAACAATATTTACGCACTCAATCGTGTTGTTAGGTATTCAAAACAATTTCACACGAAAGTTGAAGTTCATTTTACAGCTAAATAAAAACCAATGGTCATCCAAAATGCTAGACTTCTTCCCTGTCCTCAACTCTTTTCTCATAAAAAATTCCGTGTCGATTGGTTTTAAACTATGACCTGTAAAGCGACAGCAAAATTAGGAAAATTTTATTTATTTATTTATTTATTTATTTATTTATTTATTTTTTTTTTTTTGGTCCATTTGAACCCTCAAAATTTACATCTCCATAATAATAAGCTTTAATTCTAACCCTAGCCCTTCCCCCATATAAAATTTGTTGAAGATCGGACGATAGTTGCAATAAAAAATATTCATTATTTTTTATTGCAATATTTTTACGCTATTTTCTTAGATTTTATCCATTTCTAGCAAGAGTCCGTTCCAGATTTGTAAGAATTGTCAAAATCAGTCCAGCGGTTCTTGACTTATAAGCGGAATAACTAAGATCTATTTATTTTTCATATATATTGTACCTATTATGCTATATTACTACCTACCTATTATGCAGTATTACTGTAATGGTCAGATGTTCTTGACTTATAAGCGGAAGTTCTTGACTTATAAGCAGAATAACTAAGATCTATTTCTTCGTCATATATATTGTACCTATGATTTTATATTACTACCTACCTATTATGCAGTATTACTGTAATAGTCAGATGTGAACTTTTAATGTATTTGTGATTTGGCGGAGATTGAAAAATATAAAATAATATTATAAATTGGTAGACTTCTGTCCAGCCCTGAACTCTAACTCCATGCAAAGTTCCGCATCGATTGGTTCATAATTGTGGAAATTTTTTCTATTTTTGGTCCATTTGAACCCCTGAACATTTTGCGATCATCCTAAAAAAACAATAGGCTTCCCCTCCATTTTTGATTTCTTGAAGATCTGGCCATATTGTTTTACTTTTCTTCTCGGCGTTGATTTAATTAGATGAACTTACTTATTAACATATTACAGCGCATTTGTAGCTCCACTTCTCATACACACTTTGAGTCACTACCACAATCGATCACTATAACAAAACTCCAATCTGAACTGAGTACTGATTGAATTCGAACTTGTCATATTTTTACAATATATAATAAAGGCTAGTTAAAAGATATACATTTCATAGCATACTTTCAGGTTAAAGTTAAAAGTTATTGCTTGCGTTTACAAGCATAAATTAAATATTCTCGATTACACATTACGTTAGAGTCATATGTAACGTAACTTTTTCATATTTTATATTTTAAATTTTTATAGCATACATTGAGGAGCACCCACAAATTTTAAAACTTAAGAGTAACCCAGTTCTACACTATGTTCTGCACATTAATAAATATATACTTGCATTGTATTTGTTCGACATTTTTAGTTTAGATTGATATTTCAGGAAATATTATATCTAATCTAGCCTTAAGTGTGAAAACTTCACTTGACATGTAATTCCAACATGATGTGCAAACTAGCCCTTATTCTATAAAACTAGACCTTACTCTAGAATCAAACTAGCCCTTATTCTATAAAACTAGACCTTACTCTAGAGTCAAACGTATGATGAATTATATTTATTTATTTATTTATTGTTTTTTTTTTTTAATTTTTAACATTTAATTTACTATAATGCACTAATGTTTCTTTCAAATTTTAAAACAATTAGTGGCGATTAAAAGTATGCTATAAAACACGAAATAGTCACTTTAAACATAACTCTAATTGGATGAGTAAACTGGCCTTAATGTTGAATTTATCCCTGACTCGTTTTCTCTAAAGTAAAACCATTATTAGTACAATTTTAAAGGGCCTCATAAACATGGCCCAGTGTTCATTATGGAGAACTAATTTTTAGATTGAATGTTTCTTATAAAATTATCCATTATTTCGACGCAATATTGGCCGGAAACCAATAATTCTGAGAACGTTTTTAGTATTTTTTCCGCTCTACAGTTAAGCCACGTAAGGTCAGGTCCAACCAAAAAAAAAAAATACACGTCAATATAAATACTTATTTCATAATTAGCCCAACTCGCTTGCATCGTAAATGTTTTCGCTATGAAGACCTTGTTTTTCACAATCCTTGTGTTATTAATTTAAATAATTATGCATCATGCACACATACACACACACATCACATCTCTGCCTCTGTCTCTCATGACATAAAATAACATGCATATCTAAAAGAGTTATGCCAACATTTAAATATATATTTCAAAAATGGATGGACCTTGACCAGCTGGGTGTAATTAACACAAGCACACCTCAAGCATTGTTTACATCTAAAATAAAAACAATCTCAGCTTTCGATGTAAGGAACGAAAGAAATATGCAACCGCAGGATACTTGACGTTGAAAGGTGTTTTACACTTTGACAACTGAACTGAAATAACCGCCGGCAAACAGACGCTGGACAAGTGTTGGCTACGTTAATTGCAAGGATTACATATACATATATATATATGTACGTGCACGGAACATGCCACAAGGATCCACTCGTGGCTCAGGTGTCCTTTATGCGAAAAAGTAAAGTGAACCGAGAGTCGCTTCGAGGAGATGTGGGACCGAAAGAAAGCGAAAAAATAAGAACATCGCATGTTTTCCAAACATTGCCCTGTGTGTTTTTCTCTGTATGTGTGCACGTTTCAACAGAGACCTTTTTTCGCAGCTTCCATTCAATTATTTAATTTACTGTAAACATACACGACATATATACATCCATAATACAATACATACAAACATACATTAGGGCCAGCACGCACTTACTTACATTCACTCACACACACACACAAACACACTCACATAAACGCGACTTTGTTGGGCTGCCTTTACTTGTGTTAATGCATTACCTTTCAAGGGAATTCTTTGATGTATTCGTTTGAATGTATGCTACTTGGTGGCATACAAAGTCCCACAGTCCCGTCCCATTTTCGTCCCTTGACAAGCAATTGATTATTTTTATATTCCTGCTCTTCCACCATACCCCCACCATGTGCTCGCCATGCCATTACTCTCGCATACACTTACTACATGCACACATACAAATATACCGCACTAACTAATAAAAAATGAAACTCAACAAAATACCCGTCTTGTCGTTTGTTATTGGCCCACCCGAAGATCGAAATGCGTCGCAACTGCGGCAACAAGATTGTCGAGGAGGACGAGGAGTGCGATTGTGGTACCTTTGAAGAATGTGCCTCAGATCCATGCTGTGATGCCATTACGTGTAAGCTCAAGTCGGAAGCCCAGTGTGCCAGTGGAGCCTGTTGTGACCAGTGTCGTGTAAGTTGGAAATGAACTTTTAATTGCATTCTGTTTGTTTCCATTTTCTACTTCCCCCCTTCCTGTGTCTCTCTCACTCTGGATGCGTGTGTGTGTGTGTGCGTAACCTTCAATCATTTGCTGCGAACAGTTGCGTCCCAAGGATCATATTTGCCGTGATTCAAACAACGAATGTGATTTGCCCGAGTATTGTGATGGTGAGGTTGGCGAATGCCCCATAGATGTGTTTAAAAAGAACGGATCGCCCTGTGGCCACTCCAAATCTGGAGTGTCTGGTATGTTGTATTAGAGGCTTGTATTAAAGTTGACCCTAATTGCATTCATGCTCGGTATCTGTCTCCGTCCATAGGTTATTGCTTTCAGGGAAAATGTCCCACTTTGAATTTGCAGTGTGAAGCCATATGGGGCTATGGCGGTGTGGCAGCCGATCGTGAGTGCTTCGAGCAGTTCAACTCAAAGGGGTCCATTAATGGTCACTGCGGTCAGAACGGCAAGGATAACTACATAAAATGCGAACCAGAGTAAGTAACGAACGAAACCTCATGTCTATGCCAATGGAGATTTTCCACGAAGTACCTTTTTGATTTTCATTTTTTTGTCTCGTTTAGAAATGTTCAGTGCGGCACATTGCAGTGCAAAGAGGGAGAACGCCAGCCTGTCAATGACGGTGACCTTTATTCGAGAACCATTATATCCATCAAAGGCTTGGAATATGAATGCAAGTAAGTACGATTTTTTGCAGAGTTGGTTTCATAAAAAATGTAATGCAAACGAAAGAACAAAGTGTGCCAAAAAAAAAAAAAAACATTAATTGAAATGTCGAAAAACGTCTGAAAACAGTTATTTTATTCGAAGTGGTCTCGGTAAAAATTATTATTTAAAAAAAAATTAATTATAATTAAAAATTATTATTTATTATCAAATAGCACATACAACAACTTTAAAAAATCTACAACAAATCAAAATTATATAAAGTTTTATTCAAAGAGAAAAATGTGGCGCCCAATGTGATAATACAAGTTTCATTAAAATAATTGCAAACATGATAATTATAACTAATAGAGACTTCATAAAGGTTACTATATATATGAAATGGTTAAAAAATTATTTAATTTATTTAATTAACCATTCTAAATTAAATTGCTTAAAAATATTTTATTAGTTTATAAAATTGAGTGAAGATACATTGAGAAATTTATATATAATTGCTATGTTTAAATACCTACACGAATCTACTAGATTTCCAATTTGTTCAATATCATAAGGGAAAATCGGCTATCATAGCAAAACCATCTCGCAGCTCAATTTAAATTGTATTATTTTTAATAGTCTATTTCTGTGAGGCTATCGAAAATCTTTCTTCGTTTTCAACTTTAAAGAAATTCAATGTGATTTCATATCCCTGCCCCTTTCGGTATTATATTCGAATGGTGATTAATGTCGACAACTCCAAGGAAACTTATACATTTTTAATGGTTTTCTGTTAAAAATTGTACTCTAAATCATATTTTCAATTCAGTCACTTTTCTTTGACTTAACAAGTGGTACTAAAACCAAGAAATTATTGCAAAAAAAAATCAGAAAAATTGCAATCTCTCATAAAAACTTTCGTATATGTTACAAAAAAATAAGAAACAATTCCCACTCATTCATTTTAACATTTTTTTTTTTTTTTTTGGTCATTATATTATTAGTCATTATATTTATATTTTCTTCAATACAATATGCCAATGTAAGTCGAAAGAAAGCTACGATCTTCGATAAACATTTTATTCCATAAATATTACAAAAGTTAAATACAATACAATTTAAGACTACCAAATTCGTTTGTTATAAAAGTTTGGAAAGAAATTTAACTCAAGAAAATCAGAAATCACTATTTAGCCAACATAGCCTTCACATACACTTTTTCAGCTAATTTAAATCATTCCTTACTCTCTTGTTTTTGCAGAGCTACTAGCGGCCAAGGAACAGGTGTAGGAGAAACTCCAGACCATGGTTTGGTCAAGGACGGCACACCGTGCGGTGAAAACTTGATTTGCCTCAATCAGACATGTGTCAGCATATTTCCACATGTCGACCAAACCAAGTGTCCAACCAACAGTCTTGGTCAAGAGTGTAACAACCGTGGGGTAAGTTTCCGACCAAACGCTTTTCTAGGACAACAATCATAACGCCGTCTTTGTGTGAGAAACGGCTTTGATTGCGCCACCAAAAGAGACACATAATTAATAACTGCTAGGGCGTCGCCGCTGCAGCCGCTGACCATTCCATCAAAGTTGATGGGCTTTGATTTGTGTTTTGGACTGATGGGCTCGGCATACAATTGGTTCGTTGCCAAACTATTACGAAAGTAATTTCCCTTCAGAAAGTCCCCATTCCAATTAGAGAGCCATTGCAATAAACAGCATCCATTGATTTGACCGCCAGTGGAGTGGGGCGCAGTTTGTCATCGAACATCGAAATCGACGACGACGATGACGACGAAGGCCATTTCATATGTTGTCATAATGATGTCCCACTAAAGACTGATTTCGTTCTCTTGTCTTTTTCTCTCGGCCAACAGGTTTGCACCAACACCAACAAATGCTTCTGTGACATGGGATGGGGAGGATTTGATTGCAGCCTAATTGTCTTATTAACCACACCACTGCCAACGGAAGCCCTGCCAACGCAAGAGAACACAATCAAAATGGAGAAGAAGGAGACGCCGTATGGTAAGCTAAATCAACTGTACTCTAAACCAAAAGAAAAAAAAAAACAGAAAACAGCAAGAACCAAAGGCCAAGAAGATGCCACCGTTGTGCATTTCGGGGCCACTGGTCGAGTGGCCAAAAACTCTCTCACTTGCTCACTTGTACACTTTTAAAACAATTTAAGTTCTACGCCTATTTACAAACTAGAAAATGACAATGGTAATCCTTCAGAGGACAAAACATGAACAATGGCCAAACAATAGCCCAACGTTGTAGGCAGAGGTCCATCATCCATCGACTGATGGCGGCGCTGGCAACAACGTTGGCCTATTGCAAATTGCAAACCTCATTTTTCTCTGCCTTGAATTGCTTTCAATACGCCTCACCTCACCCATTGCAGCCTCCACAGATCAAGATAGAATCAGCACATTATCCATGGTCATCATATTAACCGTAATCGTGAAATGCGTCTTCATTAGTTTCGCAACATTGGCCGTTTGTTACAGGTAGAGTACCAAGCAAACATCAACAGAAATTTGACCACAATTCTAAACGGTTTTTTGTTTGAAATCAATTCTTGATTTGAGATTCTTTTTCAGTTGTCTTGTTGTCTAATCAATTCATTTGATTGTGTCCTTGATTTTTTGTGTATCCTTGATTTATGTTTCCTACGATTTTTTTTCTTGTTAAGTGTCCTCCTAATTTTGCTGGCATTTATGGTCACTCATGGAAAATCGAATAAAAACCAAAACACACAACTCAATTTTATTCCCAAAAAAAGGCTTTTCTATTCAATTCTTTGTGTTTTTTTAGTTTGTTATAATTTGAAAAGAAAAAACACAGAACAGCTTCCAAACAAAACATTGATAATGAACAAAAAAAATACATTTTCGCAATTAAAACGCTTTTTACTAACCAACAAACAAACAAAAAATCCTAACACACTTGCAATCATTAACAAAACAAAAAAAATGAAAAAAAAAAAAAAAAAAACAAAAACTAACAACAAAAAGCTAAAGAAGAACAAAAAGACATTTGCTTGGTTTTCTGTCCTTCCCAAACAAAAGCGGACACGAAGAAGAGCAATCAACCAGCCGACCCACCCACCCATCCAGCCAGCAACCCACCAACAGCCATGTTGCACTACTCAGCGAGGCAGGGCGGTTGGTTGGATGGTTGGTTAAATGCGTGCGTGTTCGACACTGCTATAAAAACACACAGACATCCCAACATATGTATGTGGATACATGTGAATGTATGCGATGCTACCATATTGGATTTCATTAAAACTTTGCCACAGCATTGAAATCCATCTTTAGTTTAATGCGATAATTAAAGTTTATTTATTTTTTTGAAATTGTCAACAGAAAACTGGTACGAAATTCTACTCCAGTGATTATTATTTTAAAAATGCACACACACACGCACAGAGAGGGAAATTATGTACAGCTTGCTTAACATTTGCATCAGTTTTATCCTTGGACTGTTTAAATTGTATTTCTGCGAATTTCACAGAATTTAAATGGAAATATATCGTTTAGAGAATTATATCCCTCATATTTATTGGATAGTTCAAAATTTAACTTAGGATAATGACATATTGCAGTCTATGTAATGTTGGATAATGTATATATTGTCGTTACTTTTAGATTTGGTTTCTAAGGATGTCAACGCATCACATAAAAAATCACGATATTTTTACTAAATTGGTCACAAATTCTCCACATAAAAAAAAACGGTCTTAGGCCCTTTAAAATGTGTGAGGAATATGGTTTTTTTTTTTAATTGTCGTTCTGATTGCGGAGCTAACAATCCAAAATTCTTAAATATTATAATTCTAATTGTAACAAAACAATTTAGAGAAACATGAACTGTTGAAACCTTGACAAACATTTTCCGATACTCATAATTTTGTATATCCCCGATATTTCCAAGTGTTGTCCATTTTCTAAATCTGACTTAGTTTTCATAAAATTATATGACGTACAATTTTTAAATCACGAAGATTAAGGATCTTTTAAAGATTTGAAAATTGTGGGAAACTAACCACAGGTCTGAACTTACGCACTGCATCAGATTCTGTGGAAATATTGGGATTTGCAAGGTTGGAGACAATTAGAGACTCATTTAGCAGACAACTGAAATTCAGATTATTCAAAATGGTATTCCATTGTACTGGACAAATTGGTCCCTATTGTCCAGCCCAATCTAATCTGGGTGGAAAATTTCGATGAAGTTTAAAGAAAATCAACATAATCCTATTATCATTAATCAAAATTGAGAACGTTTTTAGGAAAGCTACCAGGAGGAGCGGATCTAATACTTTACATCTTTAACATGATATGAGAGTAGTAATTATAGTCCGTCAAACAGGTTTTGAGCCAAATTGGGATGCAAAGAAAAAAGGGAACACTGTGACACAAATCTCCATAATAATATATAAACACTTCTTCATATGTTCCAAATCTGTTTTGTGGGTGCCTACAGATGACGAATATAACTTTGATTTTTCTGGGTCAATTCGAAAAAATAGAGAAATTCCGAGTTTCTTTGATTTTCAAATTAGTACGTGCATAGCTCTTTTTTTTAAGTCGAGTGTTATCTTTCAAACAAATCAAATATTTTTGAAATCGGTTAACAAATAGCAAAGTTACGGTTTGAGAGTGAAAAACGCTTCAAAACCCGGAAAACGATTTTCTTCATGTTCTACACTGCAAGGCTGATACCAAACAGTAGTATCATTTATTTTTAAGCTTTAAGCTTTTAAGCTAACGACTCAATAAAATCGGTTGAGAAATAGACAAATTATAATTTTTTTCTGTTTTAAATTTTTTGTTCAGCAATTAAAAATACTTTGTATTGTCTGTCTGTCCGTCTGTGGAAATAACTCTAGCTTCCGAACGAAATTAAGTAGGTTGATAAAGTTTTACTCAAACGTATATTATGTCTGCAGGACATCTGGTATTAAAAATGGGCTATAAAGTACTAAAGTACGTTTTTGGATAGCCCCCAAAATAATAGAAATACATTGTAAAAAATAGAAGTTATGTATGTTTCAAGTTGAAAATCCAAGAAACTCGGATTTTCTCTATATTTACCGTTATAAAATCAATTTTCGAAGTGATCCAGAAAAAATAAAATCTTTGTACACCCACAAACCAGAATTGGAACATTAGAGCAAGTGTGTATTTTTGCTGTTGCACAGTGACATTAAGCCAATTCTAACGTCTTTCAATAATTACTTCTCTTATCAAAGAATACGGAAAACCGGTTAAGTGCTTAATTGCATATCATTAAATGACTGGGAAAAATCTTGAAAACGTTGATCTAAAATTAATAGGCTCCCAAATTATACTGTCAATTAAATAAAGATATTATCACAAAACATTTGAAGTGTGTGTGTGTTTATAATTTGATATATCTCAAACATAGTTTATAAAAAAAATTCATTGGAAATTGTCAACATCAAATTCATTTGCACAAAACAAATCGTAAGTTGTACCTCCATGGTAATGTGTTCCTAAATTATACGCCCACGGTCAATAAATATATATACATACATGTGTTTCCTTCGTTATCCGTCTGTGTGTGGTTGTTAAAATTATATAATTGTCTATCTATACTAATAAATTCATTTATTTATTTATTTTTTCAAATCATACCTACGTCCATAGATGTACATAAGTGCGCGCATATGTTTATATTCCACTCCAAAAATATGTCAATGTGTATAGAGTTCTGCAGAGACACAGATATTCAATGTGGAAATCATCATATCTAAACTATTTCACTTTCTTTCTTTTTTTTTGGTGTGTGTAAAAATCATTACTAAGTGTCCAAGTGTGAGTGTTTGTGAGCAATTGTGTGAATGTGACTCATATAATCCTCCAGCCAAGATATTTGAATGTGTTAACATGTTTTGTGTACTTATCATATACATATTTAAGTATGGGTGGTTGTGTGTGTATTTTTCCATATAAAACTATACGTGAAATAAAAATATTATTATTCTTATCATTACTATTATTAGTTTTCGTATAATTCTTAAAATAATAAATATGTATATAAATGTGTTTGTGTGTATATTTCTATATATGAATTACGACAATTCTTGTTTCCAATACTCGTGTTCTCTCGTTCTCTCTACATCTTTCTCTATCTATTTGTACCAACAAATGTTATCAACTCATATATAAGTGTGTGTATGTGTTAAGCCCTGAATCTTTTTTTTCATTTATGTGCATTTGAGTTAGCCCAAAGATCATGAATCTATCAAAAATAAAATAAAAATTATTTTACTTTTTTTTAATTTTTTTCATTTTTTTTAATTCCGAAATAAATAATTGTTATTTAGTAACCATAACGAAAAAGGAATTGGTTCTAGACGACAATCTGCAAAAATCAATTCAATTTGCCATTCCTTTTTGTGCCCTGCCAAAAAGTTTCCCTTTCGCATTGTATCCAAAAATATATTTTGAATGCGAATATTTATGAATATTTATTGCCGCAACGACCAACCAACAAATTAATCATAATTATATGTCCCGAAATGGAATCGGGACAGCTTTCAAAATCAAAGCAAATTGAGTTTTGTGTTATGGCTGAACTATCATTCAATTTAATACCTAATGCTTTTAACAGTTCCATTTTAAAAAAGGATCAGAAAAGTTTTAAATCCTAAAAAATATAATATTTCAAGTGCAATTTATGCATTTTTTGAAAAAAATCGTGTAAAATTTTTGAAAACTAGGAAGCTAAGGTAACGCATACTATTATAAATTGACACTTTTTCTTTGAATAACACAGTCAAGAAAAAAATATACAGCCTACACTAAATTAATAGAGAAAAGTTTGGTCGGTCCTTGTCCGTGAGTCCTTGAATTAGAAAAAAGTTCTGATAAGCATTCTAAGTTCTCCAAAAGTTCAGCACAGCCTGAAATCACTTTCGAACTTTAAAGCCATATGTTTCTGCAATTCTAATGCTAGCAAAAAAAGCACTGTTCAATTAAATTTTCCAGCGTCTCTTATGTAAGTTATACGGTCAACAGCAAAATATATTTCATAGTTAAAAAAAGGTTAAGTGGGCTACTAACCTGTTTCTATTCATTTCGCATATGCATTTCCATTGATCCATACGGTTGAATGGCAGAAGTGCCTTTCAAACCTTGAATACATTTCAACATCTTAGAAATGCATTCGAAAGTGTGTTTACATATCTGAACATGCCCATGGACAGTGGATTCGGGATAATATGAACCAAGCCACAGCCAAGGTATATTTCTATTTATGATTTGGTTCGATCGAACACACACACACAACACGAATGAACCAACAATGTGTGTCCGTCCGCCTTCTTTCGTCACACACGCTTCCTCCTTACGTATTTGTTGTTAATACCAATCAGAATAGTGAGACGTCACTGTTCGTTCTCTTGACCCCGACTCTCCTGTATACAGCTATCAAACCACCTGTAACCATAAAAAGCTTTTCTTTATTACCCTAGCAATGATATGTTGAAATGTGTTATGCGAATGTATTTGTGTGCTGATAATTGAGAGGGATTGATTGGAGGTTACTAATTAATTATTTATTATTTCAGTGGCTTTACATGGCTCTTCCCTGTCCGTCTCTTTTTATTTCTTTTTTCTTTTTCATTTTTTTTTTTTTTTTGGTTTCATTTGAATGTAACACATTTGTTGTATACAAATCAATTCATCTTTTATGCATGAACTACTGCCACACATACACATGCTCACATATATTTACACACACACACACGCACACATACATATATAACATAAAAATACCTATACACATGGTTTTTTCCGCTTCGAGAGGGACTGTGTGTGGGACTATGGTTTTGATAGATGAATAAACGGATGGATGGATGGTTGGCGAGGAATTTGTCCTGAAACTGTCCATCATCAATGAATGAATGCATGAAAGAGGTCAATATCCATTTGAATAATGCGCGCTTTTGGGATTACCATTGTCATGGCGTGCTGAGATTCTTCTTGCCTCAACAACAACAGCAACAAACAGCTCGATAGATATATATGTATATGTATAAAAACAACAGCAAAGAAGAAGGATGATGAAGGATTTATTGTCTGTTAACGTTAACTATTTAAATGCAAATTTACTTAATTTAGTTGTATTGTATTCTAACCAAACATATCAATTACTTTACATATATATTTTCTGCAACTACTACTACTACAACAACAACAATGGAATAACATTTTGTGACGACCACATCAATGCCAACGAATTGACAAAATACCGAACAAAAAATAACCCAAATGGAAACCCACAATTTTCACCAACGACCATCCATCGATCAACAACCCAATTAACAAAAAAAAAAAAAAAAACAACCAAAAATAATTAAATAATAAAATAATATGCGTATACAACAAAATCTCACATTACTAACAACAAATGTGGAATGGATTGTTTAACAACAAATTTTTGCCTACAAATTTGATTAAATGAATTAATTTAATTAAATATTTTCCATTATTTCATTGCAAACAACAAACAATGAATTCATATTTTCGCTTCCCAAACAAATTTATTTTTTTTTTTTTTCAACATTTACATTATTTACACAACTACAAACGCTAACAACAACAACAACATCTACTACAATAATAATGATAATGTTAACAATAATAAAATAATTTCCACCAACACCATCACATACACACGAAAACAAAACGAAACGAAAAAAAACTCTGAATTGAAACTCGTATAGAGAACTACCATGGCTCAAATACAGTATTCCTAGTTGGTGTACTAATGTCAGTTGTTGGGTTCGTTTTTGTAACATTCACCTTGATGGCACTGTGCTACAGGTCAGTTGTAGTACATAGAAACTTCTCCCTGTGTCTGAGGTTAGTTGAAAAGAAGTAATGAAAAACAAACAAACCACTATTTGAAGAAAGAAACAAACAAAAAAAAATGCAGAAAACGCTAAAGCCATTGAGAGCTAAGCAATCGAATTCTGTTATACGATTCTTTGGTTGATTAACAAGTCAATTTGTTGTAATTACTTTTTTTGTTTTTAATTTTGCATAAAAATTACCTATAACGAGAATAACATCATCATTGCCACATTGCCCCCCAAACCTCAAAACACCACAACCACAACCACAACCACCACCACCACTAACACACTCTCTTAGACACATCTGTAGACACACTAAAGTCCATACATTAGACTCAGACCGCAGCAGCAACCAAAATATGAAAAGAATGAAAAACACCGATAGACACCACATAGAAAAAAATGGAAACACCTACCATTATCAGTATTTTCCCTCATTAGTTTTCACGATACAAAAGGAAAAAACGAAAACAGAAAAAAGCTCTATTTTCTATTTTTGTGAATATAAAAATCTCCATTTTCATTTTGTTCTGTTTTATTTTCGCCTTTGGCAACTCTGGTTTTCAGTTTTTATTTCTTATGGACATTTGAAATGTAATTGTTTTTATTTCTCTGTTCTGTTTCTCTACACACTCTGTATATTTGTTTATATCACTCACTCTCTTTCTATATCTCTTTGTGTCTGTCTGTGTTTTCATTATCGGTGTATATATGATTTTGTGTTTGTTTGTAGTGTTCGCTCGTATCTTATATACATATCTACATGTGTTTCATAACTCGATGTTGTGTTTTCCAAACAAAAACCAAAAAGAGAATCAGCCAAATAGCTAAACCATAACCATCTTCCTCGCCCGACCCACACCCTACCCAACATCACCACCATCATCCCCACCCATGCATACATTACAAGCCTTTGAATGTTGTTGCAAGACTGGAGGAAAACAATAACAACAATTTTCATTTCCTTTCCACAATTCTAATGAAGCAATACTGCTGCTAAATTTGCTCGAACACACTGTAATCAACAATAATCACAATGCTTGTTAATTGGCTTAATGCACATACCACCCTCCGCCACTGCCACCGCCACCAATCCCTAACACAAAATTTGCCATATCGCCCAATACCCATGGATATAGATCACTAGAATCGTTCCTAGGAACCATACCCACCACCCACACTACTCCCACTCTCAGTTATGCAAAGCTATAACAAAAACAGCCAGCCAGCCACCACTGCAAGCTGCCACCTCCTCTGCTCAGTAAAAAAACCGAAGATATCAACTTCATTAAATTCAATGTTTTAATTTGTAACAAATTGTTTTTTGTGTTTCAATTATTAACGAAAAGCCAAAAAATTAATTAACATCGAAACGTCAATTTTCTATAAAAAAAAGTTAAAAAAAAAACAAAAATATCCAAAAAAGGAACAAATTCCAAAAATTACAAAAGAAACGTATATTGCCAAAGAACAAATATATGTACGTTGTTGGAAAACTAAAAAAAAAAGAAAAGCAAAATGCAAAACCAATGTGAAGCCCGAATAAAGTCAATTTTTCATTACTACTTTTATGGTTGTCGTCGTCATTGTGACTGTTAGCATTTATGTAGACTCAGTACTCTCAGTATCCAGTATTCTCAGTATTCACAAAAACAACTTGTACTTGTACTCGTTCCACAACTTCAGTGATAATAGCAAAAAAAATTGAAAAAAAAATATATAAATACAACTACAAAAGAAAATATCCAAATCCTACTATCAATACGTACCGTATCCATCCAACAACCATCCATTAAACGTTCTTCATACCGAAAATGTTCGTTCATGCCAACATTGGACAAGAACAAAAAACAACAAAAAAAAAAACAAAATTCTTCTTAAAATGTCACTGCAAGAGTTTTTTTTTTAATTTTCTCTTTGACCCGAACGCCAAAAAGAAAATGAAAAAAAACTCAAACTACGGTACAAACTGAAATAGATTTTCATTTGCAATCGCTGCATATCACTGCGACTTCACCTCCTCCCTCCATCCTTTCGTTTTCGTTCCATTTAATCTTCTTCTACTTCTTTACGAATTGTCACAAATATTTACAAATGACAATGGTATTGAAAATCAATAATCATTAAAGAGCCAAACAATGTCACCCAACCGACTCCGCCAGCAGGTAAGTTAAACTATTTTTGGTCATTTGCCTTATTTCCATAAATACAGACATGAATGTCTCATCAAATTCCAGTTCTGCAGGTGAAGCTGTGTTCAAATTGTATACCGTATTGGAACAAAAATTGATTGGGAACAAAAATACGAAAAGAATAAAACTGATGAAATTATTTGTCAGAATTTGTAAATTAAATTTCGTTACTCTCATCCCAGTTCCAGATTGGAGAATTGTGACCATAATAACATTTAATAATCAGAATTTTATAGTTAGGAAAACAAAAGCCCATACAAATCTTTCGCTATAATATTCGCCATTTATTCTGATGCCACGGTCGATTAATACGAGCGGAGAGCGACCATCGGCTGTTATGGCGGCCCACACCATCACCATGGATCGCGATTGTGTTCTGGTGGTCACCCAAAGGTGCACATTTTCAGCTGGCCTCTTTGGCAAGTTTACAAATTGCTGGAAAACGAATGTTTTGTCATCGGAGAAAACCAAATTCAGCAGTTCACCACTTTCGGCCTAACCCAGAGCTCATTTTTCAATATTTGCCGAATGGAATATTGCGGATGTTCAGCTCACGAGCCATTTTTTGGCCACTGCGACGCAGGTTCCATTTCTGTTGATGTTGCTGTTTTCTTCCGTCCACGTCCTTGACGTCGGGCTAGGCTACCAGTATCACGGTAACGAGCGATGGTATGAGAAACAGAAGATTTATTCACATTAAAATGCTGGAGTGCTCTAACGATAGCCACTTGTGGTTTTCAAGCCAAATATTAAGAAATCACACTATAACGCTTGAATTCCATCACGAATTATTTTTTTTCTATAAAATTCTCACCGAAATGCTTTTGTACGCTTCTAAACAATATAATGAGCTGTCACTGGAACAATTTTAATTTATTATTTTTATTTGGTCTTTTAGTTTTTTATGCCAAGTCGAGATATGACGATAAATGAGCCCTTTTTATGGCATTTCCCATCACGTTGGCCAAAACTTCCGCAAATTAGGTCTTCACATTCTTGACAGATATTGTCTTTAAGAGCTGAAAGAGTCTGAGGCTTCTTAACATAAACCCGCGACTTTGGTAGAAGAGGTACAAATGCCACCGTCAAATTTTGTGGAAACCGATTCAGAGTTTCAGTATGATCTACTTCAAATAAGTTCCCAATATAAACGTTCATTTGTTACGTGTAGCTCTACTAAATACGCATAGTGGTGTAGTCGGTACCGCTCTATTTGTGACCTTCTTTAAGTGGTTTTATTTGCTTTTATTTTGGTTGTTACTTATTTATCTTTTATTTTTTTTTATTGTTCATTTTTTTATTGCCTTATTTCCATGCTATTATATTATTGCTAATTTAATTAAATTTGATTCAATTTTCTCTATAATTTTTATTAACTACTTAACATTTTTGGGTTATTCCCTCTAAATTAATTTTATATTTTTTAACTTTATTCACATTTATCTTAAAGATCCCATTTAAAAAAAATCATCTTATTAATAAAGGCGATTTCATTTTTTATCCAACTTTTATTTTTTCTTATATTTAATTATATTTTGCTTTGCTGGACTTTATTTTATTAAGTCGTTCATGTTTCGAGCCGCTTTCCAGTAAAATATGACTTGAACAACAGCAAGTAGCTAACAGAACATTTTCGGCCGCGGCTAGTTTTAATACATCTTTTGTTGACAAATGTGGATTAACATCATGAAAAGCAACTCTCTATTTTACATCTTCCGTCCGAGATCAAGTCTGTCCCTTCAACGTTGTATTTTGTACAATTTGTGTTCGAGTTACCAAAAACGTACTTCCAACAAATATATATCATATATTTACCCACCCCCGCAACATAGTCATCCGATTTTATAAAACGTTGTTAAGACTACTCTTTCCGAAAAAAACATTCGGTATATAAGTACAGCATCAATGGTTGCGATCTCATAGAAATTTACTTCTACTTTAAATTTTTAACGGAGATAAAATCACTTTCCATAAAAAACGCACAAAATAAAATGGGTACAAAAAACCAAGCCCCCAATTTTCAGAAATTTCACATTCGAAATAATCGATTCAATCAAATTTATTCGAACAAATGTATTCTGCCATAAACACCTGTGATGACCACGTGAAATTGTTTCATCATGGTCCATAATAAAGAATCACAGCAACAAAAACAACAACCACAAAAGATGTGATACAATTAAATTAGTTGATACAGACATGAAGTTGAGAACAAAAACAAATAAAGGATTCACAACAACAACAGCAACGATGTGAAATGCATTTCACTTTGTACGTTGTTGTTGTTGAATGATGTAGGTAGGTGACAGACTGGGTTGGGTTGGGTTTGCTTGAATGGATGGATGGTGGACATGACATCCGTTAAATGCATCATCAATTGAATGACATTAAATCCGACTATGGCAACCACATGACATGACATAAATGCGGTTAGCAACAGACAAAAAGACAGGCCACCGCCATCAACATGTTCAATGGCAACATTGTTTGACGGCAAAGTTGTAAAACTGCATTGTTATGGTCATTTTATGACTTCGTAACTTTTGACTTTTGGTCCATTGTGATTGAGTGCATGCACGCGTGTGAGTGTGTGTGTGTATGACATCCACCACAACTAATACTTTAGCAAAAACAAAAGCAAAATTCTGAACACAGCTACACCGACTGCTGGATTGTCTGCCCAGGTAAGTGGAGATTATTCATTGTAACTCACTCTTGTTTCATTCTTTCTCATTTAATAAGCTATACCAACATAGTCGGACCGGGGAGTACGTACTAGTAATGTAGGATTTAGAGTATTTGAATTTTGAATAAATATCTTAAGAAAAACAATTCCTATTGAAAACCAATCGAACATTTGAAGCATATTCCCAAACAGAACAAGTAATCAATTCATATTTGGTCCCCATACCAAAACAAACAAAGTCGTCTTTTAATCTTTTCGAATATGCCATACACAATCGGAAATTCCCAGACAAAAAAGAAATCCTAAAATCAATTAAAAACTCAACTTTCTTATCGATGGAATGTAGTTAGTTGTCATTACCATTAGCTGTGATCTGAAGAACAGAGATTCGCTGATCGCTATGTGGACGTGTGCACGTCTTGCCTGCCATTGCATTGCCTTGCCTTGCCTTGGAGGATCAACGAATCTCTGTTCGCATTGAATGTACACCATGTTGCAAGATTGATTGATTGATTGGCTGCATCCTGGATGCGGCCACGCCTCATCAGCCAAACATACACACACATCAGAAACTGCGTGTAAAAATAATGTCACACATACATTTTGAGTTATGGTGGTGCTTTCTACTGAGCCCCTCGAAGGAATTGAAATTGTGTCATGTAAACGATCGACATACCCATATATGTTCGATAAGTGGACCGATGTTCGCCTGATAATGCCCGATACACATATAAAACATTGAAATTGTTGCATTTGTGTTTTGTTTGTGTATTAATTGTATGCATATGTATTTGTAATTTGCATAAAAAAAAACTAACTAACTAACTAATCAACAATAACAACAAACTAAATAATTAAATATTTGTACATTTTACACACTGTTTATATAAAACGTAACTACAACAACAACAACATCCACGCAACAAACAAATGAACATTTTGTCTCGCTACAATGACAATTCGAAACACAATAACTAACACACACACACACTAACAAACAAACTACAACAACAACAATGAAAGCAAAATAAAACATCTTTACTAACACACTCACACATTTTGCATAATGAACAACGCCATGACCACACACCAACACCCGCTCACCTGCTATTTTATCCGAAGGTGGAAAAGAAGGTAATCATTTTGGTTGCAAAAGATATTTTTATAAATACTGATATTCTTGAAGTTTTTTATTATTTTTTTATGTGAAATCTATTGCAAAATTAACATTACATTTCTGTTTATAGAACTAAGTGAATCACATCACTTCGTCCCAATATTTTTATTGTTTTAAAACAATTTTAATTAATTTCTCACAACAAGGTTAAGCGATACAAAAAGTTTTTGATTTGCTCTACACACAATCTTTAAAAATCTTAAATATAATCTCTGATAAGTGTTCCGAAAAATAATTTAAAAAAACGAACAAAACATCAACACTCTCTGTAATGGCCTAAATAGGAAATTATACTAATATTCATGGTACAATAAAAAATAAGGTAGATTACAATTTTTTTTCTAAGCATGCCCGACTTCTGTCAATGTTGTGTATGTATTTAATGTTTTGAAAAATAAAAACAAAATATTTTCAAAATCAATGATTGGAAGACATGTACATTGCGGGACGCGCATTAAAGCTATTCGAACTATTTAGATCATATTTTTTAGGGAAAATCCAGTTTTTTTTCATAAATTAAAACCACTTGTTTACATGCTGATTTGACAAGAAGCGGGCATAGCCCGGAAGCTGTTCTACCTCCTTATTGTAACCTGCTAATATCCCAACAAGATTATATGACAGAAACTCGTGTCTTCTCCTTTTGCTTAAGTCTTGAGGCTTTTTGTCCAGTGTTGAAAAAAAGGAAAATTTCCTTCATTGCAAATATTGATTTTGTAGCCATTTACAAAATAAATTTAAACTATAACTTCGAAATCGATGCTCAAAAAACACAATTTACGTAAAGTGTTAATTTAACCACTTCCTAGAACATTTTCAGTTTGTTCAAATTTAAAATCGCAAATAACGTATTTAACAAGTAAAATAGCTGTAAGTTCGACCGGGCCGAACTTTGAATACCCTTGAAAAAAATATAATCCTTAAAAATTTTGTTAAAATCAAAAAAATACCAAATGTAGCCGTCATATTAGGGTCTAAACGACGACGTGGACCTGCATAAGCCATTTGTCATAAACCATAACAATATTCAAATGCGAAAAATACCAAATTACCTAATATCGTGAGGTACCGTTATATGGGGGCTATACCAAAACGTGGACCTGCGCAGACGATTTTCTGTCTTAGACTGTAGTATCTATTTCGAACTTCAAATACCAAATTTGAAACAATTCCGGTGAATAATATCGCTAAAATCATCCAAATACCAAATATCGGGAAGTACCGTTATATGGGGGCTATACCAAAACGTGGACCCACACGACCCATTTTCAATACCAAAAGTCCTGCAGACATAATACACATTTGAGTAAAATGTCGTTCGGAAATTTCATTTCGTTCGGAAGCTAGATTGATGGACATCGCTGAATCGACGTAGAATTTTATGCTGATGAAGAAAATGTATACTTTGTGGGATCTAAAATGTATATTTTGAGGAATTATAAACGGAATGACAAATTTAATATACCGTTTTTACCATTTTCTACTGAACACCACACCATTAAAAGATTTTGAAACCCCATGAACTACCAAAAAAGTACATTGGACCTTAATGTCCTTGACTTCTGACTGGTCCAAAATTCAACGAAGATGTCATCTATAGAATGTAATTTTTTTTGGTTTCTAACAGTTCGAATTCATGAACATGGCAATATGCAAAAGATGTAAAAATCGGAATTTTATATTCCAACTCTTTAAAAAAACTTGAGCATAAGAATATCATACTTTTATTCAAAAAAAAAAATGGCATCGAATCCAAAGTTGTAAAAAACGCTTCATTTTATTTTACCGAACTACATCTTGCAATCAATGACAACTCCAAATGTCCATAACAATGAGGTATAATTAAGTCATATCTCAAAAGATTTTTAACTACAAACTTTGTCTCCTTTAAAAAAAAACTTCCAATAGAAGTAAATTTAAACAATTCCACTACGAAATAAATATCCTATTATCCTTGGAATACTACAGCAATAACTTATTTATTTTACTCCTTCACATTTCAAAGAAAATAAGTTATACATTTATAAAAATAATAAACTTTTGCAACCAATACGAGGTTCTCCACCGGATTTTCCACACTATCTGTATAATTTATTTAATAAAAAAATCCATTTTATGTTTCATTATGGCTCAATTGTTACTTGTAATTATTTTCTTTTTTAAATTGATTGCAATTGAAATTGTATTTTTTATTTATTTATTTTTCGTTAGATTAATAAAAGAATCGAGATTTAAAAAAAAAGAAAGAAAATATTAATTATATTGAAACTAAACTGTATCTTATTAATCCATCATCTGTTTCTTTTACTTACTATTCCATACAATTCCAAATTGTTTATTCTCCATTCCACACATAAATAAAAATTGAAACCCCTTCAAAACGGAAAACAAAAAAAAATAAATAAATCAAATCGAAAAAAACATATCGAATGAAAAAACACATATCTATGCCAACAATGATATGGCATTCGACATCATGGCCTTCTCTCATTCGAAACGAAATCAAAAATTAAATAAAACTGCATTTATTTGACTGTCTGGTGATGGCACACAAACATGACTACATGAAACATACAAACACATGCATAATGTGCGCCAATCATCCAATGTCATATTGTGCGTACGCTGTCACCGTTCGTGTATGTGTGCGACGCATTGAAAATCACTGAAAAACTGTACACAAAAAAAATAATAATAATCATAAATGCGTAATGGATGAAAACTAATCAAAAAATGCTCTAAAATAAATAAAATGATAATCACCCAACCAATAATAACTATAACCATGACAACAACAATTACAACAACAAATACAATCAAATGTCAACTACCAACCTCATCGTCATCATCAACGTGTGGTAACAACTACAATAACACCAACATGAACCACAACTACAACAACTAAAACAAATCAACAAACCAACCAACCACCTTAACTTCAAAAATATTGCCAATCTCATAATAACCATAAATCAATAACCAACCAATCAACCAACCAACCAATCCTCAATATCATCATTTTCAAATCAAATCTCCCATCCAATACAAACTCAATCCCAAAACCCAAATCCAAATTCTGAATCCAACACGAAATCTATTTGCCCATACATATCTATATCTGTCTATCGAAAAACGAACAAAAACCTCAAAAACCAAAAAATAAACTCAAAACTGAAACCATGAAACGAATAATAAAAATACTAAAAATAATACCACCACCATCGCTGCACCGCCACCTGTGTCGATGGATGTCGTTGGGATGTAATTTTTGTCAACGTTGGCACGTACAGGCGCAAGACGACCACCCTCAAATACGATCCACCCTACACCAAGAAACCAATGGCCAAGGCATACGGCGGACCACCGGCCACTGCCCCCAATCACCAGTCGGTGGAAGAAATCTCCCAGGATGGTTCGAATAAATTGAATGTCTATGAAAATCAATCCGGTTTCACGTAAGTACCCTCAATCAGATATTTTAATAATTTATTAGGTTTTAAAAGCGAATATGGATATTAAAGCAAATATAAGTACGTCAGGCGTGACTGCATATATTATGCAAGAACTTCTGAGCACTGTTGGTAACAGACCTTGATTTGGCATACGTTGCAAATTCGAGAGTGTTGTAAGAATTTGAAGCTAAATTATTTTTTTTATTATTTATTATTTTTTTGGTCGAGAATTTTTTCACATAACCAAAATGTTACTGAGGAACTCAAATTTATAAAAGTCTGGAATAAAAATTAGTGCAAACCGCGAAAACCAACAAAATGAAGTGACATACAAAATGAAGTTTGGCAGGGATTAAGCCACATTCTGTACCTGTTCGGACTATGGTATTTTTCGTACCACTATAATTTTGCCATCTTTGTGTCTCTCTAAAACTGAAAGTAACTGAATTTGATATTCGATATAAATTAATTTTTATTAACTTAAATGATTTAACCCAAATAAACAAATTAAAAAACAAGTAAGCAAAGGCTACAGTCGAGCGGGGCCGACCGTTGAATACCCTACAACACAATAATAAACGATACAGTTTATATAGGCGAGATACTCGAAAGAATTCCAGAAGATATTGTGAGAAATAATAAAAGAAACCATCAGGTTTCGTTCTCTAATTTTCGAATACAAAAGTTGGCAAACTATTTCACAACATTGAATATTTTGGATGGCCATCCAAAACTGCTTGGCTTTTGCAATGCCCGCTAACCCCCATTCAAATGTGGGTGAGGATCGGGCAATAATTACGACCTGCTGAGAATTTTGCAGTTTTCTTTTGGTCCATTTCAACCCCCTAAATATATGGCGATCATCTCCAAAAAGAGTAGGCTTCTATTCTGACCCTCATCTGATCCCCATGCCAAATTTCGTTAGGATCGGGCCATAAATGCATCTGTAATGATATCCTGATATCCTAACTACTTAGTTTTTTTAGCTGTAGAAATATTACCAATGTTTAATTCAAAAAAATATGCCAAAATGTGACAAATTGAAAAAAAAAAAATATGAGAAAATGTTACAAAATCATATTTTCATCTTTAGAGAGATATTTTTATGCGATTTTTTAGACGTTTTTTCTTTCCTGTCCAGAGGCCATTCTGAATTAATGAGAACCTATCGAATCAGTTCAGCCGTTCTTTACATATAAGGATCTTTCAGCATATCTTCTTTGATAGACATATATACGCACATATTTAGCTATAT